TCCCTTTTGATAATGACAGATTTTGTAGAAACCCAGATTAGATAATGGGCTCTATGTCATTCCTCAAATCAAGGACTTATCTGTTCAGTTAATAGCTTACCAAATGAGATGAAATGAAATGAAATAAAATGAAATAAAAAATACAATGACACAAGTGTATTCTTTTTTTATTCCGATGTGGGATGGATTTTATATTCTAAACTTGATTTCTTATTGTTCAAACCTTATGAATTACATGGAGAATAGCATTCTTTCATACTGAGAATTTCATTACAAATCTCATTGCATTCATTATTTCCAACATGGGATCCTCTGAGAATAATTCCAAGGATGTTTCCTGTTGGAAACATGATAACAAAATTAGCACTGAAACCAAAGCATGTGTGATTTACAGGATAAAAATAGAGTGGGGGTAGTTGGATATAGGTGAATTAATTTACATGCCATCTATTAAATAAGATTTCAGTTCAAACAATACTCTTTCTCCATGGAGTGTAGGCAGGATGGAGCAAGTATGGATCTGTAGGGGCCATGTAGTACAGCATTATCTGAGAAGACTGGAGCTTGGAGAAGGGTGATGGCTGTGGAAAGGTGGCGTAGAGGACAGATCAGAGGGAGATGCTGGAGTCGAAATGACTGGTCTTGCAGGAGAGAAAGAAGAATTTAGAATCACTCTCAGTGTCCTGCCTTTCACTATATGTCCAAGTATGTATATATGTATGTGGCAATGCTGATGGTCAGGTGGTGAGTGTCTTCTTTTCTAGTATTTTTTTTTCTGTCGATAATGTCCTGTCAGATAAATCCCTCAGTACATGTTCAGGGTCATGATTGGAGAGTCGTGAGGATAATCATTGAGATTATAATTTCCAAATAGAGGAACACAAAGTTGGAGTATACTTTTTAGGTAATGTTGAAAAGTCTTCTTAAGACAGAATTGGTTTGCCTAATTGGTAATATTTTTGCAAGGAAATTTATTTGGATCAAAGTTATAAATGTTGTTAATTAAATTCCTGTCTGTACAAGGACAGGCAGAGAGAGAGAGAGAGAGAGAGAGAGAGAGAGAGATGCAAAATGCTGCAGGTGCCAAAAGAGAGTAATTATGGTGATGGAGTACAAAATCTACGCTTTATTAGAAAAGGTGAAAAGAAGAAATGGGACTGGATTCAATGGGTTAAGAGCCCTCATAGTATAAGAGCCATCATATTAAAAAAATGGATTTTTAAGTTGGAACTCTAAAGATAGTGAATGTGCTGTTTCAGATTTTGTTCTAGTGGAAGAGTTCTAGAGGTAACAATAGAAGTTGGTGTCTCTGGTAGGGTGTAGACAAAGGGAATTGGAGGAAATATCAAAACACTGACATTATAGGTGTTGGGTGGTTGCTGGAGTTACTAAGAATGATGGAGGTAGTTGGGTGTAAGAAAGCCTGTGAGCCTGGAGCTAAAATCATTAAAAATCATGGAGTGGGGAGCATGGGAGAATGGGGATGGATCAGGTTTTAGGTAAATATGGCGAGAGAACACCAGGTTTTAAGAACATGCCTAGTGTTGGTATTTTTGCTAAAGGGGAGAGAAAGTTATGATTGGCAGTTGTAGTGATGACTGTTAGTTTTTATATCTCTACTATAAAGAGTGGTATATACAGATTTAGATTTACTGTATTTTAGTTATAGCGGTTTCTTTAATAAATATCCAGGTTTCACTTAAGGCAAACAGGCAAGAGAAATGTTCACAATGTTGTTGGAGATGAAACAATAGCATTTGGATGCAAATTGCTAAAATGCTTGCATATAATTATAACTGCAAAAGTTACTCATGCCCCCCCACCCCCCAAATCATTTTCCCCTCAAAAAAGAAAGTTACTATGCCAGGAAGGAGGATGTTGTGATGGACCGGGCACATGGACATCTCTATATGTGTGTCCGAGAAACTTATTTTTTGATGTGAGTGTTTACCTTATAATAGTTATTAAGCGATTCATAAGTTCTGTTTTGTTTTCTATATTCATGTGCTTCTTTCTCTCTTTCTTTCTTTTTTGACAATAACAGATGTCAGCACCAAGCTGATCAAGAAGGGAATGTTTCAGTGGTGAGATGCCCAGTTCAAAGAATGCGCGAGGGGCTGACATGAGAATGAAACAGCAGGCACCAACTTTATTGCAGGGAGCGTGCTTCTGCTGTTGCTCTTCTTCTGCTCCCCTTCTTGAGAACTACATGGCTCCACATATATCAGAGTACAATAGTGGCATTCAGCTACACATATGTGAATTATGTTTACATATTTTTAGGTGCAGATGTCCTACTACACTAATATAACATTCTAAGTCTGGAGTCCCAGCCAGGCCTGGGACCCACAACAGATTAAAAAAACCTCAAATGAAAGAAAGCTTTGTAGTCCAAGAGATGACACCTAACTTTATAAATATATCAATAGATCTATTTCTAATTAAAAATATTTTCATCCTCACTTTCCAAGTCCAATCTACACTCATACATGGATAGAATTGCTATAAAAAAGAATGTCTGCTTGCAACATTAAAGTTATTTCTACTTTGTGAACAATATATGAAATACCTGGACTCTGATCTGTTTGGTCTCGATCCCATAAATGATTGGATTTAACATAGGTGGAATGAGACTGTAGACATCGGCCAGCAGAACATGAATATGGAGTGGGATGTGGCGACCAAATCTTTGAGTAAGAACTGAGAAGATCTCAGGCCCATAAAAGAGAATGATGACACAGACACGGAAGCCACACGTATTGAGAGCTCTGTGGCGAGCATCTCAGGATGCAATGTGGAAGACAGCACACAGAATAAGCATATATGAAACAAAAATTAGCACAGCATCTAGGACCAAGTTTGACATTAGGACAAAAACCCATACAGGATGTTTACTCATATGTCATCACAGGAAACATGGGCCAAGACAATGTGCTTACAAGCAGTATTTGGGAGGATGTTACTTTTGCAGAAAGTCAATCTTTTCAGGAGAAATATTGTGGGGAACTACATACTAAAATTTCTCAGAAACACAGTCATACCAATTTTCCCAATCAGTGCATGTGTAAGAAGAATAGTGGTGTATCTCAGTGGGTAGCATATGGTGATGTAGAGGTCAAAGGTCATCACCAGCAGGATCCCTGACTCACAGATGAATGTGGAATGGACGAAAAAGAGCTGAGTGATGTATCGATCCAGGGAGATTTCCCCAGCATGGAACCAGAAGATGGCCAAGGCCTTAGGTACTATGCATGTAGAGAGGACAATGTCAGCTCCAGCCAGCATGCAGAGAAAAAGGTACATGAGTTCACGGAGGCTGCTTCTTGTGAGGATAATGAAGAACAGGCTGTTCACAAGCAGGGCCATGATGTAGGAAATGAAGAAGGGATTGGAAATCCATATGTGTTGGTCCTCAAGGCTGGGGATGCCCAGCAAGTGGAAGACTGTGTGGCTAACACCAGTGTGGTTTAAGGTAGTCATGCCTGGATCAGATGACCTGGCACCTCACTTCCTATTCAAAGACAGAGAGGAAAATTCAAATTATACTCAAAGTCTTTTTACCAAAACAGTTCTTTTCACATCTATCTGATTCTATTCCTTTCTGAGGATGCCAGGACCTATGACATTAAAGATAAATAAGATATGATTTGCTCTCTGAGTGAGTTCTTAAGCTCAGAAATAAGGTTGACATTTATATAAGTAACTAACATTAAATGATTAAGTCAACGTATAGTTATACCATATAAAAATTATAATATGGAAAAACAAGAGAAGGAAGAATGCTCATCGTTCATATTTGCAATGACCTTAAGAATGACTTCATGTCTGAACTTAACCTTGAAAATAGAGTAGAATGCATGAGTCCCTTCCAATGTCTAAAATGTTTATAGTAATCAGGATCTGGTGCCAATCTGGAGTGTTCCCTTAACAATTTTATTTATATTGCCAATTACTTGGATGTAAATATTCAACAAGAATCCACTACTATACTAAAATAGAGTATACCACATAATAGTATATTATATACTTATTAAACTTAACATTTACATAATGTTCTTGATGCCAAATGAAAATACTTGTTATATAACATTAAGTATAAAAAGTTAGGCATATAATACCTGCACTGTTCAGAATATGTGAAAATATGCTTAAGTGACCAAACATTTTGTAATTATGAACTGTTTAGATTAATGGGTATGATTAGTGCTCATTAAAATGCTTTTTTGTTATTTTATATATTTAAATCAATAGACATTTTTGAAATATTGACTATAATTATTCAAATGTTAAATTAAATAAAAACAAACTTTAAAACAATGTAATTAGAGTTTGATTTTGAAACACTTCTGAGGAACACCAAGGAAACAAAAGATTCATAATTTGACTCCATAGTATTCAAAGTCTCATGTATAACTAAAATTAGTGGACAGGCAAAATGAGGAAATGTTTAATAAACATTATTTTCTTGAACAAGTAAAATATTTGAAATTTCCTACATGTTAATAATAACGAAATGGTTAGGTAAATTATGGTTCTTCCATAAACTTGTATATTTTCCGGCCAGCTGAAATTATGTTAAAATACTTATATTATAAATCTATGTGAAAAACTAGTTTCATATCTGTTAAAAACATAAATATATTTCACATAGACTATGTATGTAATCTATGTGAAAAAGTTTCAATTATGTAAAAATATATATTAAAAATCAAAGAAAAAGGAAGGCAAATCACATTACAGAAATAACAAGTGTAACTTCTTTATGCATTTCATTATCTTCAATTATTTTAAAGTGATAATTTCAAAGTTTTACAGTTTACAAAGATTGTTACCTCACTGAAAAAATCAGACACTACCCTATTCTTTTTTTTTATCCTAGTTGTTCCTGGCACACTGACTACGGAAAAGAATCAGATAGGTGCCATAAATTTTGAGTACAGTTTGAAATGTTGGCTGTGTCGGTAAACAGAAAGTGAGGTCCCAGGTCATATGCTCCAGGCATGAGTACCTTGAACCACACTGGTATTAGTTACACATTTTTCCACTTGCTGGGCATCCCCGGCCTAGAGGAAAAGCACTGCGGGTTTCCATCTCTTTCTTCATTTCCTACGTCATGGCCCTGCCTGGGAACAGCCTGTTCATCTTCATTATCCTCACGAGGAGCAGCCTCCAAGAACCCATGGACCTTTTCTTCTGCATGCTGGCCGGAACAGATGTTGCACAGTACCTCAGGCCTTGAGCGTCTTCTGGTTCCATTCTGGGGAGATATCCCTGGATCGCTGCACCACTCAGGTATTCTTCCTCACTTCCATGTTCATGTCTGAGTCAGGGATCCTGCTGGCAATGGCGTTTGAGCACTACATTGCCATATGCTACACCACTATTCTTACACACATGTCGATTGGGAAAATTGGTGTGACCATTGTTCTGAGGAGTTGTTGTATAGTAGTCCCCATGATAGTTCTTCTGAAAAGACTGACCTTTTGCAAAAGTAATATTCTTCCACTCACTATATGTGAGCACATTGGATTGGCCAAATTTTCCTGTGATGACATACAAGTAAATATCTGTTATGGAATTTTTGTCCTACTGTCAACAGTGATTTTAGATGTTTTTCTAATTATTGTGTCATATATGCTTATTCTTTGTGCTGTCTTCTGCATCCCTTCCCAAGACGCTCGCCACAAAACTCTCAACACATGTGGCTCCCATGTCTGTGTCTTCATCTTCTTTTATGGGCCTGGGATCTTCTCAGCCCTCACTCAGCAGTTTGAATGCCACATCTCACCCCATGTCCACATCCTGCTGGCCAGTGTCTGCATTGTGGCTCCTCCTATGCTAAATCTCATCATTTATGAGAGCAAGACCAAACAGATCAGGGAACAGGTGATTCATGTCTTGTTTCCAAAAGAGATATGACTTTGGAAATGGGAACCAAACATACATAAGGTGAGCTTTAGAAGCCCTAGTTGGTGAGGGACAGTTGAGACTAGATAACGATCTCACTAGTATATGTTTCTGGGGCAAGTCCACAGGGGAACTTGGGAACATACTTTTCAAAGTCTCTGATCTATATAATAAGAGATCAATTTCTCTGTGGCCCAGTGAGCTTTCTCACTCAGAGTCTGAGAAATAGACTAGTTCACCTTTTTTAATTCATTCCTAGCCTATAACTCTAGATATGTATTTGAAAAGAGATGAATTATGGGTAATTGATAGATTATTATTGGTTTGTTTCATGCTTTGATGGGGTGAAGAGATTGGGAGGAAGGGAGAGAGGGAAGCAGCCAAAATCCTCTGGTACCCACATTTATCTATAACTTTTCTTCTACCTCCCCGCTCTTCTTCCTCCTGGTCTTCATCTCTCTCCTTCTCCTTCCTTCTCTCTCTCCATTATAGTAAAACACCTTGAAAAAGTGGTCTATACATTCGGGATTCAATATCTTTCTATTTTCTTGATCACACTTCAGTCAGACATTTTTCCTATGCCATTGAACTGCATGTCACAGTAGCCTCCACACTGCCGAATTAGTCAATACTGAGTCTACATCATACATGATACATCAGCAACATGTGATACAGTCAAGCATTCTCTCATTCTTGAAACTCCTCACTCATCCCACTTTAGACAGTGTATTAGAAGTAAAATCTGTACAAAATCCCCATTTTTTCAAAATAGAGATATTTACTGCTAATATTTTAGAAAATATTTCTATGTTTTCTAATGTATATGTGTATGCAGGTAAACACATTTTTTACATTGACTGACTATACTCCATCTAATCTTCGAGAATGCATCTTTCTCACTTAGCAAAAGAATGTGGACATAATCTCATGCCAAAACTATACATCTCTGCAGGAATTTTTATCACCTCTCTATTATATTCACACAAGGACATGCCATATGTAATTTAGCCAGGTATACTCTTTTGAAAAAGCATTTCTCATAGGTCATTGTGCTTATTTATTTACTGTTCATTTCCCAGTCGAGTGCAGGCTATGCATTCTGTATATATTACTTCCCTAGTGTCCATTGTATCATCTAAAAGAATAGATGTTTATATAGCCAACTAAAATAATATGGCAAGTAAACATATTAGTGGTAGAAAAAAAAAACTACTATGGGAACTCAGTGGAATGGATAATTTAGTCTCTTTGGCTATAGAATGTCACTGGATGAAGGTGGATTAGGTGGAGAATGAGATGATGTCATTTGGGAGTTTAAGGACAGACTGTTGTCATACAAATATTTAACAGATTTAAAAGAGTTTGCAATCCCAGGCAGTTGTGTGATTGTATCTATTTTGCAATGATAAAAAGATAGAAACAAAAGTACATTGGCTCTGATTACAAATTAAGGAGCTTGGATGCTATCCTGGAAGGAGGTAGTCAACAACCACGAGTTTTTAAATTGGAGAGCATTAGATATTACTCTTCTTACTTCACGCCAGACAAAGGTCCTAATATCTTCAAACATTACCTTAAGCCCCATAGCCCTCTAGTCTGAATGGAATACTCCTGTTTTACCCCCTAAAAGGTTGCTTGCATCAATAAATAACTTATTCACCTGCTTCAAATGTAGTCTTTATAGTCTAGAATATGATAAATGAAGTGTTGAGCACCAGGGAGCAGAGATTTTTATGCATTTGCCTGAAGACTCCAGGAGAAGCTACTTCCTCAGGGAACTCAGATTTATTTTTAACAGCACCCTTCCATCACATACACATGGATCAAGTTATTATGGCTCTCCATGTTTGCCAACACCATCCCTCCTACACAACTCCATCTCTGGATTGGGTGTGCACATATATTTTTTTCAATGAATAAATTGTTAGTGTCATTATAGCAAATTTTTCTATTTCTGTCTTAAAGCGAATTAGTAAATATTAACCCTATTTTAAATCAGCACAAATAAATTGATGACCAAATATGTAGATTATTTTAAAAACATTTATCTCCCTAAGTTTTTCTTTGTAATTTTGACAAATTTCAAATGAAATTTATATTTTATTTTCACATTATTTCATATTCTAGAAACTGAAGTAATAAATTTTAATTGTTAATGTGAGAAAATTTTAATGTCTTTCTTAAAATTTTAATGGTCTTTAATGTATTTATATGAGTCAGGGTATAATGAAGAAATAATCTCCATGCTCCTCTCCTATGGCTACCAGCAAATCAAATAATGCTTAGGTACATTTCACTATAACTTTTTGTTGAAAACATATCTTCACTCTTTAACTTTTTTGTGTTTTGTATTCATTAAGTTAGTCCAAATAAGTGATATGTGTATATTTGTAAAGAGGAGACTGCTGTGTGTTCGTGTGTGTGAATGGTGATACATTCTTAGATTTCTATTTAAATTAGAACTTACTCAGAAAGGCTCCCTCTTAACTTACAGATATGTTTGATAAAATATTATTTTTCCATTAAATGTTTATTTTGAGAACATTAAAACACAGAAATTATACATAAATATTATCATAAGTTCCATTGAAACTTTCATGTAGATTCAGTCATTTTAACAATTGGCCTCTCTCTTTCTCTTTATTCTTAGTCTAATTTTTGCTGTACCACATCAGTGAAATATATAGAGATCACGAGCCTTCATTCTTAAATATTTAGCATGTAATTTCTAAGGACAATTTCTTACATATAGCAGCGAAATGATCAAATTTGTGATATTTAATGTTGATACAATGTTAAATAATCCAATATACAACACATATTCAAAATTCACCCATTGTCTCCAAATTCAAGACCACATATTGTATTAAGTTGCCATATATTTACTCTCCTTTAATCTGGAACAATTCTTCAAACTTTTATTGTCTTCCATGATGTTTCTTCCTCTCCATGAGTGTGGTATATGCTTCTATTTATTTGTATCTTCTTCAATTTCTTCCTTCGAATGATGATTATATGTACTTACTTAACAAAATAAATTTTTCACTATCTGCGTTTCTTTTCTGAACATCATTGTTATTCATTTCATTTCACCATTACTTAAATAATTTTGTCAAAAACGATGCACTCAAGGTGTCAGGCACGCCGACTTGCCACCTCTCAGGACAACCTCTCCCGGCACCTCTCCCCTCATATACTCGCTTTTCCAGCAGACTCCGCGGCAGATCTTCCCATCGCCCTATGGGACATAAGACGACTGAAGCAGCTAAGAGAAACCCAAGGGCCAGCTCATCCCACACTAGGGGGCGCCTGGTTCTTGGGCTAGACAGGGAGCGCTCGTGGTGCAGATGTGCTAACCACTACACTATGGAGCTACCCTACCCTGTGTCTTTTGATTGTAGTATTTAATCCATTTATATTTTAAGTGATTATTGATAGGTACATAGTTATTGCCAGTTTTTTATTCATATTTATGTCCCCCCGCTTCTTCTTCCTAAAGAAGCTTCTTTAACATTTCTTATAACTCTGGCTTGTTGGTGATAAATTCCTTAAGCTTTTTCCTGTCTGGGAAGCTCTTTATCTTGCCTTCAGTTTTAATTGATAGCCTTGCTGTGTAGAGTTGGTTGTAGGTCCTTGCTTTTCATCACTTTGAATATTTTGTGCCACTCCCTTCTGGCCTGCAAAGTTTCTGTTGAAAAGTCAGCTGACATTCTTATGCGAGTACTAGCTGATTAACTAGCTGACTTTCTCTTGTCGCTTTCAGGGTTCTTTTTGTCTTTAACTTTCGGCATTTTAATTATAATATACCTTGGTGTGGGCCTGTTTGGGTTTCTCTTGTTTGGGACTCTTTGCACTTCTTGGACTTGCACGTCTATTTTCTTTGCCAGGTTAGGGAAGTTTTCTGTCATTATTTCTTCAAATAGGTTCTCAATTCCTTGGTCTTTCTTCTTCTGGTACTCCTATGATGCAAATTTTGGGATGCTTGATGTTGTCCCAGAGATCTCTTAAACTCTTCTCATTTAAAATAATTTTTTTTCTTTTTGCTTTTTTGATTCAGTTTTCTGCTACCTTGTCTTTCAAATTGCTGATTCAGTTCTCTGCTTCATCTATTCTACTGTTAATTTCTTTTAGTGTATTCTTCATTTCAGTTACTGTATTCTTCATTTCTGATTGTTTTTTTTTATGGTTTCCTATACCTTTTTTTTATGATTATCTCTCTGTTTAAGTCTTTACTGAGCTTGTCTGCTCTTTCCTTAAGTTCATTAATTATTCTTATAACCAGTGTTTGAAACTCTGTTTCTGAATGGTTGCTTGCCTCTATTTAATTTTTTTTCTAGAGTTTTCTCCTGTTGTTTCATTTGTGACATGTTTCTTTGCTTTCTCATTTTAGTTGCCTCTTTATATTCATTTCTATGTATTAGGTTAGATTTGTTATGTAACCCAGTCTCGTCAAGGTGGCCTTATGCAGTAGGTGCCCTGTGTGGTCCAGTGACACAGTCTCCCTGATCGCCTGTGCTGGGAGCCCAGGAGTATCCCTTGTGTGAGTTGTGTGTGCTCTTCTGTTGTAGTTAAGCCTTGATTGCTGCTGGGATGTCAGTGTGGGATAAACTCTCGGGTTGACCAGCTGCGAGGACTGGCCATGCCTCCAGGTTGTGAGCTGCTGTATGGGGGCTGACCCCATGGAGTGGGATTTGCCCCTGCAAGCCTCATATATTTGTTGAAAACACCCTTTGAGTGTGCCACTTGTGGGGCTAATCAGGTGGTGCTCTATTGTGGCCTGATGCCAGCCTCTGGGTGTGTTGGTTCTGTGGCTCTTTGAGAGGGACTCCTATGCAGGCCAAGGTTAGCCACTGCTTCTGACCACCTGGTAGGAGCTATAAAGTGATCCATGGGTGGTCCATGGAGCTGCCTGTGCTGGACCTGGAGGCAAGTGGGAGAGACCAAGCTGTGAACTGAGGCTGGCTGCCACCAGTACTGGGCCTGTGGCTGCTTAGCAACATGTCCTTGTGGCT